CTGTGGTTGCAGCCCATTATCGTTGGGGTATCTATCTTACAACTAAACCACAATCTGTCCACTCTATGTGTATTGCACTGCTATTAGTTTGGGACTGTTTTAAAGTTAACAGTCCTGGGTATGATAATACACACTTTATTGATAGTATGTAAATGTGTATTGGAATGACTCCCAGAATCTTGTCATAAACTATCCATATGTTGACTTTACACTGTCCCACGTGGTTTTGTCAATTTATACTGCCACCAAGAGGGCACAAGCACCCATTGCTCCACATCCTTATCAACAATTTAGACGGTGTGTCTCTTCATTTTGGCAATCACAGTGCAGGCTGTGGCATGACATCCAGGTTTTAACTTTCATTTCCCTGAAGACTAATGAGGAGTTTTATGTTCACTGCTCGTTTTTGACAGCCTTCTTGTAAGATACTCACATCTTGGCTGGCGCCACGGCTCACTAGGCTAATCCTCCGCCTTGCAGCGCCGGCACACCAGGTTCTAGTCCCGGTTGGGGCGCCGGATTCTGTCCCAGTTGCCCCTCTTCCAGGCCAGCTCTCTGCTGTGGCCCAGGAAGGCAGTGGAGGATGGCCCAGGTGCTTGGCCCTGCACCCCATGGGAGACCAGGAGAAGCACCTGGCTCCTGCCTTCGGATCAGCGCGGTGTACTGGCCACAGTGCGCCAGCCGCGGCGGCCATTGAGGGGTGAACCAACGGCAAAGGAAGACCTTTCTCTCTGTCTCTCTCTCTCACTGTCCACTCTGCCTGTGAAAAAGAAAAAGAAAAGATACTCACATCTTATAGCCATTTATAATTGCTTCACTGGCTTCTAAGAATTTGTAGGTTTTTATGTATTCTTCATAATCCTCTTCTGTACCTATTAAATTTTTCTTCTGCTACAATTTTTCACTCTGCTCATGTCTTTTAATAGTTTTTTTTTATTAACGTAGGCTAATTATTTTTGTGGTTATTTTTCTGGACCAACCTAAGTTTGGAAAAAATATGTTCCTATGCCTTCCTTCAAGCATTATATCTTTTTATACTTGTGATGAATCTGGAGTTAAAAGCTAAAACTATATTCTCCAGTGTGAGTGCCCAATGAAATAGAATAATTCACTGGGAACAGTAATCTCATTCCCTGCTGCACTGCAGTTTTGCCTTGAATGTGACTTTCTAAGTAGGCTGTCTGGACCTCGCTACTATATTCCATTGGCACGTTGGTCTATCCTGGTCATAGCAGTGAGTTAACTTAAGTAGCTTTTCACATCTTGATCTCTGGTCATGGCAGTCACCATTGTCCTTTCAAAAGACTGGCTTGGCTAATTGTGGCTTTGAAGAGTCCTTTATGAATTCTAAACTCAGATTGTCAATCCCAGGGGGAAACTGCTCTGCAGCAGAAGCGAATGCATTGGATATTTAACCACAAATTGAGTAGGATACTCAAGTGTTGCTAATTTTCTCTTAGCCACACCAATAAACTCACTTTTTAGTCGTTAGTAGATGCACCTATTTGTTCCCAGGCACAAAACTGCATCTGTGAGTTACGCTGACTGTACACCCTTATCCCTGGGCTGTTTCTGGATCTTAATACACTGACCAGGATTTCCAGTGCAACGCTGAATACAGGAGGTAACAGAAAGCATCTTGTCTTATCTCAGCATCAACCGACAAGCTCTCAGTAAGTCTCCATTCTGTGTGAAGTCTGCTGCCACTTTTCCCATGAAAACTTACTGGACTGAGACACTCTCTTTTACGAGAGTTCTTCATCATGAATGGGTGTTGGACTCCCTGGGATCACTGCTAACTTAGGTGCCAGATGTGCAGTGTCTTGAAAAACTTCTCAAAAATCTTGTCTGCTTCCAGTAGAATAAATATGGTTTCTGTTATTCCATCCTGCTTGGGACCATTTCTTCAGGGGCTCTATAATCCATTTTTCTGTATGCAGACAACCACTGTATGACTCTTCCTGTTAATGCAACACATCATACTGAGTTTCTCATGGCAAGTTACTTTGTCACTCTCCAAAGAAACTCCATTTGGCCAAAACAAGTCTTTTCACTACTGCTGGACCTGATTTCCTAGCATTTAGTTATGGATTTTAGCATCAATGTTCCTTAGTGTAATGGTTTGTAATATTCTAGCTGCATTGTTAGCTGTCATTTATTCTATTTGTAATAACTGTGTAAAGACACTGTATTTCTGAAATGCATAAATAAATCAATGTCCCTGTCTGTGGGGAGGATTTTAATAACCAAGTCACTTTCATACCTATTAAGATATGAATATACTTTTAAAAATATTGTGTCCTTTTCAAAGATTTTGTCCAATTAAAATTTTCACATTTGTTGGCATAAGATTGTCCTATTATTTTCTAACCCTCTTCTGACTTCCAGTGTGTCCAGTTTGTGTTCTCTCCTCATTTATCAGCCTTTTTAGGGATTTGTCAATTTTGTTCATCCTTACAAAGCACCAACTTTTGTTTTTGTCAGTTTCCACTGTTTTTACTTTTTCATTGATTTGCTTTTTTGCACTCCTTTTTGCTCTAGGCTTACTTTTGAGAGATTAGTTTACCACTTTGCCTCTTCTCTAAAACTGATTTTTTACTTAATATTTTTCTACTTTTTCAGTATATACATTTGTCTCTGATCAAAGCCTGGGCTGAATTTTGTGTTTCATTATTTTCTTACACTTTATTAAAAATATTTTTTGATCTGTAATTTGGAAATACTGCATCCTAAGCAATTAAATTTCCTAGTAATTTCTATATTTTTGCCATTTTTAAAATCTTACTTGCATTGCTTCCTGTGAATGAATGTGATTTCTATTCTTTGTAAGTGTATGAGGGCTTCATGGTCCAGTAAGTGCTCAATTTTGGCAAATGCTTGAAACGGCATGGAAAGTGTGTCGTCTGTCGCTTGTGGGTGCAGGGTTTTATGTCACTCGGGCTAGTGTCACCTCTGTGCTCTTCTGGCTGGTGTTCTGACGACACCAGCAACTGAGAACCATGGAAACGTCTCCCAAATGAGTGGTAGACGACTTTTTCCTTTTGGGTCTGTCAATTTCCTCTTGCATTTGAATACAGATGTAGATTTTATCCCTGCTGTGTTGAACTGACCTCTTGGATGGAATGACGGTCCCCAAAGTTGTGCGTCTCTGAATACGCTGAACCTGTGACTATATTAGGTTATTCGAGCAAGGGTCATCCATCAAACTAGTGGGCAGAATTAGGCTGCTAACTGGCTTACCTTACACCTGGGTGATTATCCTGGGTCTCCCAATGTAGTCACAGCACTAAAGGTGGGAAAGGGAAGCAGAAGAGAACGAGAGGGGCAGAAGTGTGGAAGGACTCAGTACAATGCTGGCTTTGCAGTGGACGGGCCCAGGACTCATGGAATGTTGCGGCCTCTGGAAGGGGAGGGAGCCCTGTCGTCTCACGTTAGTCCACTGATGCCCACGTGGGACCTCGTCCTGCACAGCTGTGAGGTAAACTTTGGTGTTGGTCCGTGCCAGGAAGTTAATAGCAATTTGTTACAGCAGCAACAGGAAACTGATGCAGCATATTTTTCATTAAAAATCATTTTCTGGACAGGAGTTGTAGTGCCAAAGTTCTTGGACCCTTGCCATCCACGTAAGAGACCCAGGTGGTGCTCCAGACCTAGGCCTGGCTGAGCCGCGGTTGCTGCAGCCATTTTGATGGAAGATCTCTGTCTCTGTCACTCTGCCTTTCATATAAATCTTTAAAACAAATCTTTTCTATACTAATGCTTCTCGCCTTTAAATCTGTGTTGGAGGCACTAGCTCTCTTTTGACCAGTATTTGCATTGGCATACTTTTATCTTTTAATCCCCCACAAGATTGAAATTAGACCTCTTACATAGCAAAGGCCTTTCTGCTCCTGGGAGGGTAACGGCCCCTCCACCCCTCTGTGCTTTCTGGTACGCTGTTTGTGGTTTGCAGTGGTTACTACCCGTCAACTTTGATGTTCTTCCCACTTATCCTCTGGGGTTTTCTGAGCTTTGGGAACCTGCTTGGTTTCTTTCTTCTGTCCGAGAAACCCTGGATCACACTTGCTGCAGTCAGTGACTGCCCTGGGGGCCTGCTGCAGCTCTCTCCTCTCTGAGCTCTTCCACTGCTCCTGGCGCCTGCTGGCGGACTGTTTCTGGGCTCTTCTTTGTTCCCGGCACTCCTGTCAGTCACAACACTCCACTGAGGAGCAGAAGTCCTCAGGTACTTACAGCCAGCTCCACCACCCTGACTCTCGATCGCCATTTCAAGGGTGTGCTTCACGCTCAGTCTCACTTTCTCATCCTGTGGTCTCAGCAGCTACCAATACTGATTGCTAGGATTCCTTCTTGCTGCCAAGTACTCTTTCTCGAGTCCTATTACGCAGGTGGCATCACTCCATGAAGAGCTTTTCGCCAGCAGTCCTCTGGCTCCCCTGCAGGTTCAATGTTGTTGCTCCAGATACTGCTAGGGCATCATCTGGTTGTCCCAAAACTGGATCAGTGAAGGCGGGGGCAGGGGGGGCAGGGGAGCGGGGATGGAATCATGCACTTACCTTGCCTTGTTGCACAAAGATGGAAGTTATCTTGGCACAATTATGAACCTGTGTTGAAAACATAAATACATACACATATCTTTCATGGTCAAACTGTCTCATTTTGGCTAGTGGAAGCTAACTTCCATCAGCTTCTATAAATGTCTGTCAGAACCCAGAGTCTTACAACACCTCCTTGAACCCAGGACACCTCGTATCAGAGAGAGGCTGTCCCTTACTGCTCTGCACCTGACATTACCTGTTCTATAAAAATGCATTACTCCCTGTAGCTGAAGATGGAGTTAGCGCCTCATCTAGGCACTGTGGTGCTCACTGTAAGCAGGAGCAATGACTCCAGGCTTTCCAGGGGACAGAGGTAAGCAGCACTACCATCCAGCAGGAAAAATGATGAGGTTTCCAAAGCAAATTCAGGATTACTGGCACCTAAAAACATTACATAATTAGCAATTATATTCTATCACATGCTTTTATTGATGACAAGGACATAGACTGTTCTGTGAGATTACACCGTGAAATCACACCGTAGTCTCTGTGTGCCCTCAGTGTGTCTCTTGCGGATAATGCAGAACACAGGGTCAGGATCCCTCGAGACAACAACTCTCTCTTACACAGCAGCTTGCCATCTTCTCCCTCTTTACAGAACTGTTTTTATTCACTTTTGGTTCATCCTTCAAGACTTCTTCTAGAAGTAGAAGCCGCTCATCTGTTCTCACGACTGTTAACCGCTGCCCTCTGCCACCCTGCGGTGCAGCACATTTTGCTCTCTGCTTCCACTCTGCAGCCGACGTCACCTGCGCTCCTTTGCAGTCTGCTGGGTTGTTTATTCAACCCATCCTGCTAGCAAACACGTGGGCTGGTTCCAAAACAGCACCCACAGATACAATCTGTATTTAACACCTGGGAGTTAAAAACGGGTTCATCACTAACGCATTATGGATCCTCTGATTCTTGAATTACTGCTCCCGCAACTGTCAGGGAGTCTTAACAACATGACTTGGTGATCAATTACAATTTAAAAGGGATTTCCATATCTGTTACGAAAAATTGAGTCAAAATATTTAAAATGAGTAATAACATAAGTTAGGTGAACACCACAGAGATACACAACTGAAGCTCATATCTTGAGACAATGACGCTAAAATTTGTCCACACTAGAGAGTGCTCAAATAGTAATATTTTCAGAAACTATCGTAGATGGCAGTTAAAGAATTAAATTAAGTATTTATTGAACAAACGCAGAGTAATTGAACTAAGGGGTGTTTCAACCTGAAGATACAATAAACAGCTTCACACACGCAGATGGCTATGCCCCGAGAAGCAGGTGTGTCCAGGGATTCTCCACACAGAACCTGAACCAAGGACTGAGCACACAGCCAAGAGGTGGCAGGACAGTGGTCCTGAGTGCCTGGCTTCTCTAAGGAGCTTCAATCCCCAGCGAGCACTCCACACTGTCCCTTCTTCTGAAGGAGGCCTGACAGCTCCGTACGCCCCAGGACGCCTCTACTGCCAGCAAGGGTTTTACTCACACTATTGGAAAAAACTCCATGTTACTGACTTGGTTTACCATGGAAATGGTTTATTTGTCCCGTGGCTATTTTTCTGTATCCGCATTAGTGATTCTCAGGGGCCGGGGAGAAGAGAGCGTATTCTGCAATGAGGATGAGTCACAGTCCCCAGCAATGCGGGGTGGCCCGTGGGGACCGTCCTCCTCAAACCTCAGCCAGTCACGGCGGCCATCAGCCAACAGTACAGATGGGAGTGCGGCCTGTGCGGGGGCAGCGCAAAGACCGCTGACAACCACTGTTCTACATGAAGCAAAAAGCTCATTTTGAGTCACCAGGAAATAGAAATTGCATAATACTGACAGGCTCCATCCAAACTGCTCAATCTTAAATGATGAGAATTATTTCAATGAACTTTCAGTATGTTTGAGTTCAAAGTATATATAATACACTTTATATTACACATGTATTTTATCACATACTCAGGAATGCTGAGGTGCTTAATCCAGCCAATAAATTGGAAAAAAAATTTTATGCTTCTCTACGCGTCAATGGACAAGATTCTGAAGGTGGATCTTGAACTCTGGGATCAATCAGTTCTCCAGGAAAGCCACATAATCGGTCAGTCTGGCTAGCTGCTGCTCGTTAGGAATCGGAGGCACTGGGGCGGGCTCTGTGTGAGAGAGACACACACACACACACTCACAGTTAGATGGCAGCGCCACTCCACCACCACTCTCATCAACATCCTTAATTGCAAAGACGTCTGCTCTGATTTCAGACAACACTGTGCCTCTTAGTGGCCTGGGTATTTTTGAAAAAGCAAACCAAGAGGTCTCAACTTCCAACAGCAGAGTGTGCTTCCCCCAAATGCGAGTGAAAGCAAGTCTGGCACTGATGGTATGAAGCATGCCAGGTGAGGGGAGCACACTCTCACTAGGTAGCACCTCTGTTCACATCCCACCTCCTCCCGGAAGGGCCCTCCCACACTCTCACTGGGTAACACTTCTGCTCATATCCCACCTCCACACTCTCACTAGGTAGCACCTCTGTTCACATCCCACCTCCACCCGGAAGGGCCCTCCCACACTCTCACTGGGTAACACCTCTGTTCACATCCCACCTCACCTGGAAGGGCTCCTCCCCATGTGGCATTTAATCCAGGAAGTAATTACTAAGTGCCTCTCACATTCCAGGTCCTGCTATAGGGACAACACCCAAGAAGAACCCCATCCCATCCTCAAGTAGCTTATTTCTAATGTTCAGGTGAGCACCCATCAGTCCAGGGAAGAGAAGCGTTGGTAGGGTCCCACTGCAGGACAGCACAGAGGCCCCCACAGCCTGACAGGCCAGGCAGTCAGCAAGCTCCAGAGGGGACACCCAGAACTTCACTCTCATAACCCATGTATCACTACAAGTGCATGGCACCTTAATCTTTGTTTGCAAGGTAAACACATACATAAAATACCACCACCACCAAAAAAAAAGTGAGAAACAATGATTTTTACGAGTGTATGAAAACGTGTACATACCTGATAAGGGAATAAATCTGTTAAAGGAAACATCTGGGGCTCCTGCAACTGCATTAAAAAAAAATGACAGACACCACTGTGAAGACCTCGTAATGGAAGAAGCCATTTCTAATGCAATACGCATACGTGACAATTTAGTTCTCAAACAGGGATGCATCCAAATCTTCAATACATGCGTCTTTACGCCCCATCTACACTGGCGGCTCAGGGCCTTCCACTCTCTCCGTCCTCAAGAGCAGGGCATACAGATTTGTGTAACACTTGACTGTGTGTTCACCAACATCCACACAGCAGGCAGAGTCGGGGGAGGGAATCTGGGTTGATGGAGAGTTTATGGAAGGGGGGGGGGCATTAAACTCAGCTTGAAAGACCAGCAGAAAAGAATGTTCCCACAGTACGAGGGAGAGAGTCCACCAGGCAGGCACGAGCACAGCTCACTTCAGAGAGCAGGAACTCACAGTGAGACCCTGAGGACAGGCCATGAGATTTCTGGCGTTAAGGGAAGGTAAACGAAGTTAAATCTGTGGACGTGAATGCCACAGAAGAGTGTCCGATTCCAGTACAAGGAGAGCAGGGGGACAGCTTCTATTTTCTAAAAAGGCGATGATTTAGGTATTAAGGAAAAGCAGAGTTAGGAATGGCTTGGCTCAGCAGGGGCCAGCACTGTGGTGTGGCAGCTTGAGCTGCTGCCTGAGACACCAGTACTCCGTATCAGACCAGCTGTTCAAGTCCCAGCTGCTCCGTGTCAGCCCTAGCTCCCTGCCAGTGCGCCTGGGAACGGAGCCCACGAAGGCCCAAATCTTTCACCTGCCACCCATGTGCGAGACCTGGGTGGAGTTCAGGCTCCTGGCTTCAGCCTGGACCAGCTCCAGTTTTGGCAATCATTTGTGGAGTGAAACAACGGATGGAATCTCTGCCTCTCACTCTTTCAAACATACCAATCTTAAAAAAATAGAAAGGAATGGCTCCATCAATAGAAAAATGGAGACCAGGGGCCGGCGCCGCGGCTCACTAGGCTAATCCTCCGCCTAGCGGCGCCGGCACACCGGGTTCTAGTCCCAGTTGGGGCGCCGGATTCTGTCCCAGTTGCCCCTCTTCCAGGCCAGCTCTCTGCTGTGTCCCGGGAGTGCAGTGGAGGATGGCCCAGGTGCTTGGGCCCTGCACCCCATGGGAGACCAGGAAAAGCACCTGGCTCCTGCCATCGGATCAGCGCGGTGCGCCGGCCACAGTGCGCCAGCCGTGGCGGCCATTGGAGGGTGAACCAACAGCAAAAGGAAGACCTGTCTCTCTCTCTCACTGTCCACTCTGCCTGTTAAAAAAAAAAAAAAAAGTTCCAATATTTGGAAAAAAAAAAAGAAAAATGGAGACCAATATTTTGTCAAAATTAGTTGTAATAAGTATTATGAAACATCTACATAATAAATGTGTTTCTAAAAAAAATTAGGTGACCGTCGTGATTCCTTCTCCCTAAGTATCCATTCTATCCACATGTTTATTTAAAACACACTTCCACCGAGTTATTACAGCATTATCTGTCATCAAATCATTTAAAGCCAAGGCTATGGCAAGCATTTCCCCTGCAGGTGGGTGAGGAGTGCCACCTACCTGGCTTCCTGGGCAACACCATCCTCGTGGTGGAGTCAGCTTGCCATCCTTGCTCCAAGATACCTACAAGGTGCATTTCACATGAACAGGAAGCCACAACGAGATCCACACCCTGTCCACAAGACATCACTTGCACGGGAGACCTGACATGTTTAGTTTCAACCAGACATGTGCATTTCTACTAGAAAGACGTATTATAAAAAGCATGCAAACATTTTTTGCACATGTATCAAAGCCTCACTTTCCCCTCATCAGGCTGCTGGAATCACTAATATGTCATTAGTTTAAGTATGTAGCATAGAATTAGCTTAACCGATACTATTCAGAAGAGACATAAGGAAACACAGAATATTTTGTTCATCATCTCATCGGTAACATCCAGGATGGAGGAGAAACAACAGGCTCCATGTACACAGAAGGCCGACCATGAATGACCACTCGGTGCCCTGGTCAGGATCCTCTGTGTAGCTGTCACAGCTCTGACGTAGGACGTATGGCCCTAACAGGTATTGAAACAAAGCTCAGGGAGCCGGGTGACCTACCCCAGCTCACACAACTAGCAGGAGGGACGGGATGGCAGCTGGACTCCCCCTGGCAGTCAGGTAAGAGCACGGGCATTGGAGCATATTACACATTAGATAATAAGTTACCCACCAAACAAGTAGATGACTGATGAGTAAGTAACACTAGGATTCAATGTAAGAACGTTCATTGACCTGCTCCCCATGTGCCGAGAACTGTGCTAAGCCCTGGAAATGTAAGCATTCAACAAGGCACCAGGTTGTGTGCAATGTCCCACAGAAATCCAGCAAGTGGACACGACAGTCTGGTATCACCTGAGAGAGGACAACGCACAGGGACCCTCGGAGACCAGTGGGTACCAGGGCAGAGCATCTAGGGTCTGAGTGAGGCGTGCAGGAAGTGAACGTGCTGACGGGGCAGCGAGGGGACGGCCTCCACCATGCACGGGGGCCCAGGGCATCTAACGCAGTGAGGTCAGTCAGGACGGAGTCTGAGTCAGCGCTGTGGAGGCTCACAGACCTGCTTCCTGCACAACCAGAATGAGCTGGATTCAAGGCCGCTTCCGTCCAAACCCTGCAGGGGTTATCACTGTCCTAAAAAACGCACCCGCGTTTCCCACACACACTCGGTCGCTAGGGTCTCGGGGACGGGCACTGTGAGCTGAGAACACACATCTCTATTCCCACTTGTGATGACACAGCAGACAAACACACCTTTCACGGCCTCTTCCACGGGAAGCCCCACGAAGGCGGCGAAGTCGTCCGCGATTATCGAGGTGTACGCCTGGGAGACCAGGGCGAAGGCTCGCCTCCTTGTTGCGTCTGGGGCAGCCGGGGAGCGGCAGAAAGGCAACAAGAGAGGCGTTTAACAACAGTTACTGTTCTTGTCCACTTTTTATGAACAAGACATGATCACACACATTACAGGCTCAGACATAGGAAAGATCTTCAGAGTTCATGGAACTGTTTTTTTCTTTTGTGCTAAAACTATGTACAGATTTTAACTCTTCTTGCACTAAAATAACTCATCTTTAATTCCGTCTTCTCATGAACTTTCTGCAGTGCCCTCGCATATATGTGCCTACCACGGAAGAGGCTCGCACACTGCTAAACAAACAGGTGCACTTCTCACACTTACGGAGAAACCTCTCCCAAGTGACAAGGAAAACGGCAAAGGTGGAAAAAGAGCCAAATATGCACAATACTCACGCGCTAAGAAAATGTAATTCAAACACATTTTTGTATTGAGGGTGTAAACTTGTAACTTTCTTTCATGTCACGTACAAACACTGGAATGACTGGAGCGGAAAACCCAGGAACGCGCCTCCTTCTCGGGAGGGTCTGCGGTGCAGGAGCAGCCCTGGGTGTCATGGAACAACCCCAGTGACGACCACACCCGCCTTGCAAAGTCTGCATCAAACGCCTGGCGTCAGTGACGCCCCATGTCCTCGGCTCCTGCCCCATCAGGAAGGGCAGCCCGGGGTTGGTGCTGTGCACAGTGGACTAAGTGGACTTCAGTGACGCCCCACGTCCTCGGCTCCTGCCCCATCGGGAAGGGCTGCCCAGGGCTGATGCTGTGCGCAGTGGACTAAGTGGACTTCAGTGACGCCCCACGTCCTCGGCTCCTGCCCTATCGGGAAGGGCTGCCCGGGGCTGCTGCTGTGCGCAGTGGACTAAGTGGACTTCAGTGACGCCCCACGTCCTCGGCTCCTGCCCTATCGGGAAGGGCTGCCCAGGGCTGATGCTGTGCGCAGTGGACTAAGTGGACTTCAGTGATGCCCCACGTCCTCGGCTCCTGCCCCATCAGGAAGGGCAGCCCGGGGTTGGTGCTGTGCACAGTGGACTAAGTGGACGTCAGTGACGCCCCACGTCCTCGGCTCCTGCCCCATCGGGAAGGGCTGCCCGGGGCTGCTGCTGTGCGCAGTGGACTAAGCCTCGGCCCTGCGGTGCCGGCATCCCACACAGGTGCTGGTTCGAGTCCCGGCTGCTCCGCTTCCCATCCAGCTCTCTGCTGTGGCCTGGGAAAGCAGAAGAAGGTGGCCCAAATGCTTGGGCCCCTGCACCGTGTGGGCGACCCAGAAGAAGCTCCTGGCATAAATCTTAAATAAAGAGTCTAACTTTGATCTTTTAAAAAAAAAAGACTGCCAGGCAGCACCAGCAGCATCTCATCCCGAGGACAGCATGTGGACACTGGGCGGGCTTCCAAATCTACACGCAGTCACGTCAGAGACAGAGGAGAACTGCCGCACCCAGCCGGCCAGTCCTGCCCAGGGCTCTTGCGTAACCCAAGAGCTCCTCCACGTGGCTGTGAGCAGGCTGAGGGAGTACCTGTCATTTTTATTCTGCACACTTAATCCACTGGTGTACACCCTGTAACACTGCCAACCCCATGGTTCTGGGGCTCTGCCAGATGCCAGACGCTCCGCTCTGCTCGCTCCACGCCAGTCCCCTGGCTCTCCAGGCCTCGCACCTTCCCCCAGGCCTCTGGCCTGTGAGGTTCCACCACGTGCCTCCTCTGAACTCACAGCACTGCAGTGCATACATCTATTTACTTTTGTTTGTTTGTTTGTTTGAGAGAGAGAGAGAGAAAGGTCTTTCATCCACTGATTTATGCCTCAAACGCCCAAAACAGGCAGGGCTGGGCCAGGCCGAAGTAAAGCCGGGAGCCTGGAACTAAGGCAGATCCCCCGCGTGGGTGGCAGGGATCCAACTACCTGAGCCCTCACCGCGGCCTCCAGGGCGCACGACGGCAGGAGATGGAATTCGCTATGGAGGCGAGACTCAGCTCAGCCTCCAACATGGGACGCAGAATTTTCTCCCAACTGCTGAGCCAAGCCTTCACCTCCACACGCCCCATGGAACAAGAAATCGACCACCATGGTGTGTACTGTTCCACCTGCCCCCTTCTTTCCAAGCTCTTTACAGGGCTCTCTCTCTACTTCCTGCTTCTGGGGAGGCCAGCAGCCCCAGGGAAGCCTGCAGTGCACACGTGCTGGGGGGTGATCTCCCGAGGGCCTGCGCTGCGCACGTGCTGGGGGGTGGTCTCCCCAGGACAAACGGGTGTGGCGTCCTGCTCAGCTACAGTGCTCCCCAGCTTGCACTGGCCAGCCTCTGCTCTCCCTCCATCTTTCAACCCAACTACATAACGTAGATTTCTAAAAGATGTGAATTTTTTTAATTTGAAAGTCAGTGTTACAGTGAGAGTGGGAGACAGAGAAAGAGAGATCCTCCATCTGCTGGTTCACTCCCCAGATGACCACAATGGCTGGGGCTGGAAGAGGCTGGAGCCAGGAGCTTCTTCCAGGTCTCCCACGTGGATGCAGGGACACAAGGACTTGGGCATCTTCCGCTGCTTTCCCAGGCCACAGCAGGGAGGCAGGGAGCCGGATCAGAAGTGGAGCAGCCAGGACTTGAGCCGGCGTCCATAAGGGATGCCGGCATCGTGGTGGCAGTCTTATCCACTATACCTCACCCTCTGCCCCTAAAACATCGTTTTTTGTTTTTTGTTTTTTTAACAGGCAGAGTGAACATTGAGAGAGACAGATCTTCCTTTTCCGTTGGTTCACCCTCCAATGGCCGCTGCGCCTGGCGCACCACGCTGATCCGCAGTAAGGAGCCAGGTGCTTCTCCTGGTCTCCCATGGGGTGCAGTCCCCACTGCACCCCGGGCCACAGCAGAGAGCTGGCCTGGAAGAGGGGCAACCGGGACAGAATCCAGTGCCCCGTCCGGGACTAGAACCCGGTGTGCCGGCACCGCAGGCGGAGGATTAGCCTAGTGAGCCGTGGCACCAGCCCCTAAAACATCTTAAAGAAACATTTTCTACTGAAAGCTATGGCAACTCAACGGGAAAGAACTGAGGTAACAATGGAAAAGGAACACCTTTTTGGTTTCTTTAGAAAAATTAAAGTGTACACCAGGAAACTATACTCATTAGGCAAATCAGCATAAATTAAAATATTCACTTTAACTCTTATGTTCTGGCCAGAGTGAAGCGTGCTAGAACGTGAACAGAAGGGAAGGGGGGACAGGAGGAGGAGCAGCCACAACGGGGGTGGCGGGTCAGGGTCCCGGCGTCAGGGAAGCCTCCACGCGCAGCTGCTTCTCATGCCCCAGCCTGTGACTCACACCCCCGCACCCTGAGTCACCACGCAACCCTAGCTCTGAACTCCCACCGCACAGTCACACCCCGGACGACGGCCCCGAGCCAGCACCTGGCATCTGCGGAAACTTAGGGAGGACGCGCCCTGAGTACAACGGAGGCCTAAGAAAGACTCGTTCACGGTTCAGTTGTCCAACTTCCGCTGCCTGTGCCTGCCATCTACCAGACTGCCCACCGCCGGGTGCCGGTGCCGGGGCACAGGGACAGTGAGCGGCCCCTCCAGCCGTGCTGTACATGGGGAGGCAGGCACCCTCAGGCGGGCCAGGGGCCAGGGAATCGAATTCCTCTGTGCCCTGCCAGGGGCAGCCCCCGTCTCCAGCTCCACTGATCCTGGCCCTCACCCCACCCAGAGGCCCTGGGGAGAAGGGTCACTGTCCACAGCGAGTCCTTCTGGTCTCCTGTAAAAACAGCTCTCTCACTGGCCCGACCTCATCTAAGCCGTCTCTGATTTTCTAATAGGACTGGGACTCAGAAAAGAAGAGGAACAGACCTGAGAAAGTGTTTTTAACTTGAAGACAAGTGTGTATGTAACAAATTAAAAACTAAAATATTAAATCTGGCAAAATTTGGCAATAATTCAAACCTACCACGGGACCGCCCTCAACCATCAAGCAGCATTCCTGACTCTGGGGACCTGCAGGAGTCTCAGGGCAGCGTGGGGTACTGAAGGCTGACAGAATGTTCCAGAATGCAGAAGTCCTGACGGGACCATGGGCCACCCCCACTGAGGGACAAACCCTGCCCCACAGTCCGCATTCCCACAACACACCTTCCAGTCTCCGGGGGTCTACTGGGCCGCTTCCCAGGGACTCCCAACACGACAGAGATCTGCGAGGCGACGACCCAAAGCCCAGAGCAGCTTGAGTAAGGGCCCGAGGCCGCTCCTGCCCACCAGCCTGCTGCACGGAGCTGGCCCGAGGCCCTGGCGCGGGCCCTCGCTGCAGTCCCAGGCTGCCCCAGACACAGGCCTGGGAACGCCGAGAGCTTCAGATGCGGGGCTTTGTGGATCCTGGAACAGTTGCACCTAGTGAGGTGCTCTGGGGATGCGACGTCAGCCCACACGCACAATTGCTAAGCTTCACCTCCACCTCACACTGTGATTTACGACCCTCTCAGTGCATCTCTATTTGGCTGTGGCACAGCGCACAGGCCGGCAGTGGAATTCTCCACGTGCGGGGTCCTGTCCGTGCTCACACACTTCTAAGATTTGGGGGCACTTCAGATTTTCAATTAGGGCTGCTCAGCCCACACCATGAAATCCACTATCCCTCCTCAGGCCTACAGCAGGGGTGAAGGCTGTTCACCGATTCCAACACTGCCCCTACGGGACCCGCCCGGCCGCACCCCTCCTCCCTTCGCTCCCTCACCTGCCCTGCACCCCTGCTTTCCCCACTCCAGTGTCAAGGAGCGCCTCCTGCTGTCGGCCACATCGCTGCGTCAGCCCCTGCACGTGCCCGAGCCGCCCTGAGCCTGCTCGCCTGGAAGCCGCCGGCCAGACGCCTGCCGAGGCCGAATGACCGTCTGCACTCCGGCGGGGATTCTAACCTTCCACCCCTCAGGCCGTGAACTCCGGGGATTCCTGCAACAGCGGAGAGCCCTTTCCCTGCCAGGAGCAATTTCAACCTGGAACCAGCCCGAGACACGAAGCCCTGAACTGCTGATGCAGCCTCAGCAAGAGAAGGCTGGCGGCACTTTCTGGACAAAATAAAAACGGGAGCTCGGAAAGCTGCCGCTCACCTGCGCTCACCAGCGCCCCACCCGCCTCCCGCCCTGCAGCCTCAGGAAGGGCCTGCTGCAACGTCCAACACAAAGAAACGCACCTCTCAGTGCCTCCATGATGGGCTGCACCGTCTCGGACCACTGGTGAGCGCTGATGGTCGTGTAGATCCCGGGGAAGTCCCTCTGCCAGATCCTCTGTCCCACCGACCAGATCCCCCCGAGCTCAGAGTTCGCCTGGAACACACGTCACAGCCTTTGACAGTGCTCATCCTGGAAACAACTGCGTCTTTTTTTTTTTTTTTTTCTTGACAGGCAGAGTGGACAGTGAGAGAGAGAGACAGAGAGAAAGGTCTTCCTTTGCCGTTGGTTCACCCTCCAATGGCCGCCATGGCCACGTGCTGTGGCAGGTGCCCCGTGCTGATCCGATGGCAGGAGCCAGGTACTTCTCCTGGTCTCCCATGGGGTGCAGGGCCCAAGCACTTGGGCCATCCTCCACAGCAGAGAGCTGGCCTGGAAGAGGGGCAACCGGGGCAGAATCCGGCGCCCTGACCGGGACTAGAACCCGGTGTGCCGGCGCCGCAAGGCGGAGGATTAGCCTAGTGAGCCGTGGCGCCGGCCACAACTGTGTCTTAAAGCGAAAGTCAGAAAGACGTACAACGTGTTAGCTGCATCATCAACACAAAATCTCACGTTCCTTTTAAGAGATGCAATCACTTTTTCAGTCCAACCACATTCAAACAGGTTTTTAAGCAGCATGAGCAGTAACGCAAAATTTCTTTATTCATTCGCTGTAAGTGTTTATTACCACAACAGATTAAGGGCTGAGAAAGTAATCCAAACATGCTCGGGATTAAGCCTGGGGATTAAGTATCTCGGGCAGCTGATTCGAAAGGTGCCCTGTTTGCAGTCCCCACACACATAACACGATGCCCTGGGGACGCGAGCAAGAGCCAAGGTCAGCACAGGCCACCACAGGAGGCCACCACCCTCACGCCTCCACCACGGGGACCCTCTTTCACCTCACTTCACAGCAGGTATGGGAAAGGATGGGAGTTAAAGCACTAATCCGGTGCCCGGCTGAGAGCTGAGCACAACCTGAGGTGGACTCTTGGTCCCACGTGGAGACCACTCACGCGGGCACTGACCCACCCGAAACCCAAGGACCACTGCGGCCCACTTCGGAAGCAGCTTTCACTTGCTTCTCCACCCAAAACGAGAAGCCCACTCTCCTAACTGGATAGACAGTCCCAGCGCTGCGAATGACCATTTCAGAACAGCAGTGTACCACCAGTCTCCACGCCACTCCTGCTTCAGGAACCTGCACAGCTCCGTTGAACCCCCCGCCCCCCTGCAGCCACCGCCCAGCCCTTCGCGTGGCCCGGCTCAGCGGCGTGGCTGGAATGACCGGGAGCCGAGCCGACCCCTCCGCCATCCCGGGGAAGTTCTGGTTTCTGACTGCAGCGCCGGAGGTCGGTTCTCTCCTCTAACCCCAGTGACACGGGACGGGAACAGCGCTTTACGGGATTCCCCGGTCAGAGAACGTTATCACCACGTGGAAGCAACACAGCGCAGGGCAAGGACACTTACGGACTTTATGGCAGGCGGTATTCTCTTCCAGAGGTATCTCGCGTTATTCCTAATGCAAACCAGCGCAAAGAGCGGTCAGTAAAAATGTTGGAAATTACTAGGTCCTAATGAGAACAGACAGGAGTTAATCAAAATACTCTATGCACAGTACAGAGCAAACATATTTTATGTGAACTTGTTCTGGGGAATTACGAGTAGTTCTCCAGACGAAGAGACAGGAAATAGTTCATCAACGTCACATTCTGCCATTTTTAGTGAATTTCTGAATGAATGATTCAGATGCTAAATTAAGCCAACACCAAAAATACAAAGATTTACACAGAACTCCCCAAATAATTCACCCAGATAAGAACGCGCTTCCCAGGTCCTGCCTCCCCGGAGGGAAGACGCCCGGGCTCCCGGGCTTGGTCCTCCTCACAGCCCCACACAGGGCCCTGCCCCCAGAACCTCCACAGCAGGGGGATCCGGGGAGAAACCCGGACCAGGACACCCCTACGATGGGACCACAGGAAGCGAAGCGGGCCACTCACACGCCGGACGCGGGGAGCCCAGCTCAGCTTCTAGGACGACAGGACAGAAAGGGCTCGGAGAAGTTTAGAGGAAAACCGTCAGGCGCCCCTGGGGTCACAGAACGACAGCCACCCGGGGGCGTTCTGCCCTCCAGCGAGCAGACACGGGTCCCCCCTACGAGACGGCTCCCAGGAGCTCTCGGCTGTGGGCAGCAAACCCCTGCTGGCCCTCGGCCTCCGGGCAGCTTCTCTGGGCCTGCCGACAACAGGGGCCCTCGGCTGAGCCCAGGTCAGAGCACAATCCTTTAAAAAGGTCACGCGCCCGCACTTTCCCAGGCTCCGCGCTGCTTTTCGGACCTGAGGGTTCTCCGAAGGCTCCGCGGGAAATGGACGGCGGCAGCCCGCGGGCGGGGTCAGCGCCTGCCCCAGGGCCCCAGACCGCCGGCCTCACCGCGACTGCGGCTCCGGCCTCTGCTTCCTGCCAGCGCACACGGCGGCCGGCTCGTGGGAGTGGGCTCCCAGCTGTGGTCTGGACCAGCCCGGCCCCGGGGCACCCGGGAGGGAAGCAGCCGCCCGCCCGTCTGCGTCTCCCTAGGAACCCGCTGTCCTCCTTAGGAGGAGCTACAGGCCGCCGGCCACCACCCGCTGGACGCCACAGGAACGGCCGCAGCGAGGCCGCAGCGGAGCGCTCGGGGCTCCCGGGAACCGGGGCGGCCGCCGCGGGTCGCTAAAGGTACTCACATGTCGTTATGCAGCAGATACAAAGCCAGCAGCTGGCCGTACACCGGGGGCGTCGCGATTCCTCCAGGAGCCTAGAACGCCAGAAACGCAAGAGCACAGCCTCCTTTCTTACCCACGCCAGAAAAAAACCCGAAACCTTCCGGGGTGGGGCTGCAGCTCAGCGGATCAAACGGGCGGCCCGATGGGCGCAGGTTCGAGACCCGGCCGCTCCAGCTCCGATGCTGCGCCCTGCTGTGGCCTGGGAGATGGCCCGAGTCCCGGGGCCCCTGCACCCGCGTGGGAGACGCGGAGGAGACCCCCGGCTCCAGCCTGGCCCAGCCCGGGCCCTGGCGGCCACTTGGGCAGTGAAGCCGGGGACGGAAGACCTCTAACGGTGCCTTCCGGGTACATTTAAAAATAACAACAAAAAGCTGAAACGTCAGTCGCCGGCGGCTGCAGACACAGCTCGGCCTACTCCCGAGCCCCGCCCGGCTCTGCCGCTCCGGGGCATTCTGCGGGGCGCCTTCCCCAGGCCCGCACGGAGCACGGCCCGCCGGGCACCGCTCCCTCCACGCGTGTGCGTGTCCGCGGGTCACACACCCCGCGCTGGCTTCCCCAGACACCGAGCGCCCGGGGCGGCCCCCACGGCCCGCGGCCCGGGCCCCGAGGCCGGCAGGAGAGGCTGCCCCACGCGTCCAGGCAGCGGCCGAGCAACCGCCCGGCCCGAGCAGTGCGGGGCGCCCGGGCCCGCGTCCCGCGCCCGCTCTCCGCGCGCCCCGGCCCCGTTACCCTGGAAACCGGCGCCGCCCGGAGGCCGGGGCGGCCCCGGAGCTCCTCCCAGCGCGCTGCACGCGGCTACCTCGAGCTCCTGGTTCTCGCACTGATCCAGTAGCTTTTTGAAGCTGAAGGCGCTTTCTGCCATCACCGCCACTGGCATCTTCCCGCCCGGTCTCGCCGCCGCACCTTCCAGCCAGCCAAACCCCGCACGGTCCCTCGGGGCGTCGCACCCAGATGACGCACCACGCCGTCGCCGCGGCCCAGCGCTCCTGCGCACGCGCACAGTGGTCCCGGCACGGCCCGGGGCGCCGCTGCCGCAGGGATAGGAGGCGGCGAGGGAGAGCGCGCCGGCGCTCTGGGCGGCCCTCTCGGTGGTTGGGAGGACCAGCCAGCCGTCGCGGGATACCACTTCCGGGGCGCGCGGCTGCCGGCGGAAAGGGCGGAGCTTGTGTCCGCCCGAGGTCGCCCAGTGCGCAGGACAGGAAGGTGATGGACGTTCGATAGCGGAAGTGGCTGGGACAGCACGGGCACGTGTGTGCGGGGGTCACGGGGCCGCGCCGTCCCCGGTCGAGGCTCCAGGCGGGCGCCGCCGGGCCCCGGGTCCCGCCCGGGAGCGGGACGGCCGTGGAGTTTAGGCCCTGTACGTGCAGATTTGCCCGTGCGCAGGACCGGGGGCGCCCGGGGCGCGTTTAAAGGCCCGGCCGCTGGTCTGAGGCAGGGCGAGGCGATGGAGGGAAATGGAGGGCTTCCCTCTCTGTTGCTCCCCGAGCTGCGCCTCGCCGTCTCCGCGAGGGGTGCGATGGCGGATTGCGGCGGGGACACGGGTGCGGGTGCTGGAGGCACCCGCGGGGGTCGCAGGTCCCGAAGCCGGAGACGCGGCCGCAGGGGTCGGCGTGTCATGGGTGTCGCCGTCTCCCCGCAGCCCGACCCGCCCTCACGCTGTGCGTGTCCGCTCAGGTTTGCTAGGCGGGATCTCCGCGGGGCGCCGCGCAGACCCCCACCCACCCCGACCTGGCCGGGCCTGACCCTGAGACGCGCGCCCGCCAGCCTCGGGGTCGCAGGTGCCCGGCGAGTCCCATGGCTCGGTGCGCTTGGAAGGGCGGTAGCCGCGGTCTGCGCGCCCCTCCCCGGCTCCTCACGGACCAAACCCGAGCGCAGGGGTTGGCGTGGTGGCACCGCGTGGGTGACGCTGGACCTGGGGCGCCCACGCGCCGGCCCTGCGAGCTCAGGGCGGGTGGGGTCGGCGAGCGGTGAGAGGCGGGGGAGGGGATGGCGGTGGGCCGGTGGCGCCTCTGTCCTCGGAACGCGCCCCTGGTGTGCGGGGTGAGATGCCCCAGCGGGCGCGTCCCTGGAGAGGAAGCAGCCGGCTGGGCCGGGGACGGGTGGGGCGGGGGTGACTGGTAGTGGGTCTGGGGTGATGATAAGGCTTCAAGCTTCCGTCTTGGTGGTGTCTGTGCAGCCCTGCGCCTGCACGGAAGCCTCTAGGTTGGTCTGTCAACAAGTGAGAAACGTGAAGCTGGGTGGCCGGCCGTGAAATGTAGCCCCGTGCAGGGATCTGCCCTCGGAGACCCAGCGGGCCAGTCCACTGCAGGGGCTTTCGGGGAGGTGAGCCGGGCCTCAGCAGAGTGAGCCTGTGGAGAGCCCGCCAGCTCTGCCAGCCAGGAGCTGGGTCCCTGGAAATGGAGTCGGGACGCCCAGGTCAGAGCCTTGCTGGCTCCAAGCTGAAAGGCCCTCACTCAGCCCAGCTTCCAGGGTGACCACCGCTGCTGAGGTTGGGTCAGCAACGCTGCGGGAGAACTAAACTTCCTGTTGGAGACGCCAGCTTCCTCCCAGGCCAGCTGGGTAATGGAAGCCGACAGGGTGCCTTCCCCAGGGAGGTGCACACCCTCCTTGGGAGGCACCCTATGAAGAGACAGACCGGTCTGGCTTCCTAACTTACAAGGCCTGAAGCCCACCTGAGTGTTATCAGGCCCCTCTGTCAGGTTCTGTTTGGCGGAGCCAGCACCTCTCTCAGCTCCTCTGACAGTGACTGTCCTCTGTACCAGGCCCTGTCTGCCCACGTGGGTCTCCTTCCTTTGTGATCACAGCCTCTACTCTGCTCCCGACCTGTGTGCACTGATGGTCCTCTCCTCCACCTAATCTGCATGATTATTCAGAATTTCCCTACAGACAAACCCGCTACCTGCAAAAGCTGAGTGGCCTTTCTCCCGGTCTCGGCTGGGATCAGATTTAAACCACGTCCATCAAACCGTCCTCACAAGGGTCCAGTGACCCCTCCCATTCCTCTCCTCTGTGAAATCCTTTCATTACCTGGTTAATGCCACTCTTAGGATCATTGGTTGCTGTTCTCACCCTGACTTGCAGACCAGTGTCTGTGTGTTTACAGCAGGTGACAATGGAACCAACCAAGGCCTTCGGCAACCAGCTGGTCAACCAAATGCTGCCACTGGGATATACTCAGCTCCTCACCCAGGAGACAGCGCCCCATGCCAGCCAAGAGTGCCCCATCATGCCCAGTCAGCAGGAAGTAGCCAGAGACTCATCGTCGCCCCCTTTCCTGTCATCAGAAGGTCGGGATGGCAGCTTTGGGATGCACAAGGAGGGAATGGAGAGTCCTTGTCAAGGTCCCCGCGGGTGCCTCAAGGTCAACAGAGAGGAGCAGGCCTGCCTTGACCTTTAACCCCCATGTCCTGAATCTATAAAAGGAGCCCTCCCAACCTGTGACACACGACTTCCCTGGCCCCAAACGAGCAGGTTGGACACCTTGCAGTCATGTCTGTATAGCCCTGGGCCTGTAGAAGCCGCGAAGTTGCAGTCTGTCAACAGTGATTACAAAGGCTGAGGGGGGAAAGGCGCCTGGCCCAGAGGGGTCCACGGCTGGGACTCTGACCTCCTGCAGAGGGGCCGCCGGGCCAGGGAGGCTCTGACCTGGGGCTCCCCACTGGCCGCTGAGCCAGAAACCCAGGGCAGCCCTCACGGGTGAGCCTTCCGGGGGCTGTGTGGGAGGGAGAGGGTGGGGAGTGGGGGCAGTGGAGGCCGCCCCAGCCCCGCCTCACACCCGGGACAGGATGGCCTGGGCCCCACTGTGGGGGGGGGGGGTGTTGCCCCACCTTCTGCTAGCCTGGGCAGGTCGACTACAGCAGAATTGTGTGTGTGCAGCCTTTGCTCCGTAGGCGAGGAGAAAGCACACAGCACGCCCTTAGGACCTGTGTCAGGGTCACAGCCCGGCAGCCAAGAGGCCAAGTTCAGACGCTGGTGAGAAAGAGTTCCAGATGGAGGCTGCAGGACCCAGGGCTGGAGAATGGCCTCAAAGGACGAGGGCTTTGAGCTGCGTACGTGGCCAGCGACGGTTGGGTCTGGGTGGCAGGGCAGCCGCTGCAGGCAGGGGGCCGCCATCCTTGTGGCCAGTGGGGCTGCTCTCCTTGTGTGCCCAGGTGGCAGCCGACCCTCAGGCGTGGGCAGGCTCATGGCAGGGACTGGCAGGGCAGGGAGACAGGGGAAGGCAGACGGACAGAGCTGGGGGCTCCTTGATTCTGACAGGTTGCTGGCTGGGGTTTGGGGCTGGGTGTGGGTGTAGATCAGGTGGGCGGGTGTCCGTGCACGACCCTCAGACTGGAGACTTGGAGGGACCCTCAGACTGGCGGTGACTTGGAGGGACCGCCGTGTTTCTGGCCAGTGAGCACCCGGATGCAGCTCTTGGCAGGTCGTGCCCTGGGCACTTCTGGTCCTCCTCTCGGCCCCAGCGCTCTGCCCTGGGCGGTGGTCACGGGAGGGGCAGTGAGCTGCAGCCTCAGGTTTCCTCGTAGCACAGGGGACAGTGGCCAGGTGCCTGGCGGTGACCTGAGCGTCTCCAGGTGACGGTTCAACGTATCGTGACTGACGGACGGGAGGAAGGGTTTTGGAGTTATTAAATTCACAAGTTTAAGACCCAGCGGCAGGCTGGCATCGGTCCTCATGGTTACCGCCCGTGTCCCGCTCCGAGGGTGAACGTTGGAAATTAAGGGGCTCAATTACGGCTGAAAAAAGTTTTTAGTGTTGAAAGATTTTTTTTTTTTTTTTTTTGACAGAGTGGACAGTGAGAGAGAGAGACAGAGAGAGAAAGGTCTTCCTTTTGCCGTTGGTTCACCCTCCAATGGCCGCCGCTGCAGCCGGGCGCACCGCGCTGATCCGATGGCAGGAGCCAGGATCCAGGTGCTTTTCCTGGTCTCCCATGGGGTGCAGGGCCCAAGCACCTGGGCCATCCTCCACTGCACTCCCTGGCCATAGCAGAGAGCTGGCCTGGAAGAGGGGCAACCGGGACAGAATCCGGCGCCCCAACCGGGACTAGAACCCGGTGTGCCGGCGCCGCAAGGTGGAGGATTAGCCTATTGAGCCACGGCGCCGGCCTTAGTGTTGAAAGATTAAGGATAGTCCCCCCAAATCTCAGACAACTTCACTCAAATTTTTAAAAATGGGGCACCGCTCTTTCTCTTTTGTCTTCCTTTTTGCCCACGCTTGTGTTCACAGGTGAATAATAAAAGAACATTTTTGCAAAACTTCACAAAGGGCCTGGGGCTAAGGGCAGACAAATGTGAGGGCAAGTTTGCAGGAATAAAGAGAAGCCGTGGACAGTGCAGGCCAGGCAGGGGTTATAAATAACGCACAGGCTCGCTGGGGGGAGGCCAGGCCTCAGCAAAGGCTTCTGGGGCAGGGCGGGGCGGGCCCTGGGGGAAGGCAGGGGTCCGGGCGCCCTCCCCCACCCGTGTTTATTTCCTGAGTCTGCTTGTGAGCAACACGCGTGGGAACAGAACAGCACGCGTGGTCTTCTCTCCAGCTGTGTGCTCGCTTTGCAGGCTGCACAGAGCTGGCTGTGCGGGAACCACCGCAGGCGCTCAGCGAGTGCTCGCTGGCCCAGGACCACCTGCCTGCCTGTGCCCAGAGGAGGGGCCATCGTCCCTCTGCCCATCCCCACCGGCCCCCTGCCCACTCAGCTTCCCTGCCCCAGCGGCAGGAGGCCCTGCCCGTTTCTGTCCAGGGCAGTTCTTCTCCGGAGGCGTGAGTGGCTGCTTGGGGGCCATCCCTCTCCTGACCGCAGGGGTCTCACTGTGCTCGCCTGGGCCTGCTCTGGTCTCCAGTGCGCTCAGAGAGGCCAGGATGGCCCGGCAGGTTGCTCACTTCCCAGAATCCCCTTCCCTGTTTGTGCTCCTGCCTGTGCCCCAGTGGTGCCTGCCGTCTCTGTAGCCCGTGTCCCCGGTCCATGCCCATGACAGCGCCCTGCTCACTCGTGCAGGCCTGCAGGGGCACCCAGACCCTGCCTGTCCCCACTGTCACACTCCACAGCCGAGGCGAGGCTGGGGCCTGGATCCTTCGCTGCCCTAGGGG